CATCTAATTCCTTCCTTCCTGTCTTCTTCTCCATCCTTTCCTTCCTTCCTTTTCTTCCTCTTTTCCTACCCTCCCTCCCTTCTTCCCAATTCCTTCCTTCCTGTCCTTTTCTCTATCCTTTCTTCTATTCTTCCTCTCCCTCCTCCTTTCCTCCTTCCTTCTTCCTCTCTTCTTCCTCCCTCCCTTCCTTCCTTCCCTCCCTCCCTTCCTTCTTCCCATCCAATTCCTTCCTTCTGTCTCTTCTTCATCCTTTCCTTCCTTCCTTTTCTCCTCTTTTCCTTCCCTCCCTCCCTTCTTCCCATCCAATTCCTTCCTTCCTGTCCTTTTCTCCATCCTTTCCTTCTTTCCTTTTCTCCCTCCCTCCCTCCCTTCCTTTCCTTTTCTCCCTCAATCCTTTCCTTCTTCCCCTCCCTCCTCCCTCCCTTTTTCTCTCTATCTGCCTACAAAATGTTTTTCATTTGCTAGAATTTCATACCAAGCCATCCTGGGAAATGAAGCCTTGCCTCAGGCCTCAGACATTCAATATTTAAAATATAAAAAGGTTTGGAACAGAGTAGCATCTGTTGAGCATCTGGAGAGCCGCCTCTGGAGTAACAGTGGCAAGTCGCTCCGTATTTATTTGTCTGCCAAGCCAATTTCCCTGCTGGCATCCATCACCATTCATTAACCACACAGTGCCTCACAATCACAGCCAACGATTGTGGGCTCTAATGAGGTTGTGGAATTTGATATGTGAAGTCGGAGAAGCAACACAAAAATCCGAAATCTCTCTCTATATAGCCTTCCTTCTGAACTCCTTCCCATTTTTTTTCTTCCCCACTACGGGGTAGTCCTCAACTTACGATCACAAGGGAGCCCAACATTTCCGTGGTTAAGTGTGACGTCCATTAAGTGTGTTTCGTCCCACTTTACGACCTTTCTGGCCACGTTCGCTAAATGAATCACTGCCGTTGATAAGCAAGTAACCTGGTTGTTAAAGTGAATCTGGCTTCCCCCATTTGACAGGAGGTCGCAGAAGTGGATCGCGTGACCTCGGGACACTGCGACCGTCATAAATATGAGCCAAGAATTTTGATCACGTGACCACGGGGATGCCGAAACAGTCATTAAGTGTGAATAACAGTCACAAGTCTTTTTTCAGTGCCGTTGTAACTTTGAAACGGTCACTAAATGAGCTGTTGTAAGTCGAGGAGTTCCTGCATTTCTTTTGGACAGCTAAGGAGGTGCAAAATTATCTTGTAAAACGATCGTCAAGACCCTTTCTCAACCAATGGTCATTCTACTTAGGGATGGGTTGTTTTCTGGATTCCCAAGAGAGTATCTGATAGGAAGGAAGGGAGGTGGAAGGGAAGGAAATATTACATTTTTATTTATTTATTAAATAAGATCTTCTAGTCCAACCCTCTGCTCAAGCAGGAGACCCTATGCCATTCCAGACAAATGATTGCCCAGTCTTTTCTTAAAATCCTCCAGTGATGGAGCACCCACAATTTCTGGTGGCAAGCTGTTCCGCTGGTTAATTGTTCTCACTGTCAGGAAGTTACTCCTTAGTTCCAGGTTGCTTCTCTCCTTGATTAGTTTCCATCCGTTGCTTCTTGTCCTGCCTTCTGGTGCTTTGGAGAATAGCTTGAGCCCCTCTTTTTTGTGGCAGCCCCTCAATATTGGAAGATGCTATCATGTCTCCCCTGGTCCTTCTTTTCATTAAAGTAGACATACCCAGTTCCTGCAACCGTTCTTCTTTTTTTCTTTGAGTTTTAATTGGGTTTTAACAATTAAACAATTCTTATTCAATTCTTATGCATGCCTGTGACCATTTATATATCATCACACTAATGTTCTCCTATACTCTATATAACTTTACAAAATCTACTGTTATTTCCCTTTTTTTCCTATCTTCAATTATACCATTTCTCCCATATTACGTAAAAGTCTGAATCCGTTCTTCATATGTTAAGAACAAGAATATAAAAAACACTAATAATAGTTAAAATATTTTTTTAAATGATTACAATAACTGTAATGATTTATATTGTTAAAATATATCCATCTAAGCAAAAAGGAAGAGAAAAATGGAATGATATTTGGTTAGGATCTAAGATTTAAGTAACGGGTTTTTGGGACAATGGCATAGTTAAGTTGATAGAATTTAGAGAAATAACCGAGTAAAATATTAAGTTGGAAGTTAAGAATTGTTAGTGATTTGTATTAATTTGTGACCGGATCAATGCTTCGTTTTGGAAAAGATGTGTTTTATGTTTGTGTTTTAAAAAAATAAAAACTTTTTTCCAAAAAAAAAGAATATAAAAACACTAAAAACGTGATAATAGCAGGAACAATAAACAAACGGGAGAAAACCTTTCTCAGTTCCAATGATGCATTAAACTCCTTAAATTAAAACTGACATCAAACCACGGTCTGTTCATGGGGGACTTTCTGTTCCCCCACGTTCTCCAACAAAAAACAGACAAGGCCTGTTTTGTTCTCTCTCTCTGAAATTCAAATGATTTTTGTCTGGAGGGTGCAGCTGAGATAAATGACATTTCTCTTTGCAGATGGACAATTGCATCATTTTTTGGAAACAGAAATGCTGTGTAATTCAAAGGCTGGGAGATTCCCAAAAAGATCAGAACAGCAGGATCCATGGTAAGAGGAGATCTAGTTCTCCCATGAAGCTTGAAAAATAACCTGCATCTGGGAATGGTCTTCTATTACAGGGAATCCTCGATTTACGATGACTCATTTAGTGACTGTTCAAAGCTACAACAGCATGGAAGAGACTTACAAACATTCTTCCCATTTACGACTGTTACAGCTTCCCCATGGTCATATGTGATCAAAATTTGGATGCTTGGCAACTGACTCATATTTATGACGGTGGCAGTGTTCTGGGGTCATGTGATCAAATGGGGGAAGCCAGATTCACTTAACAATCAGGTTACTTGCTTATCAAAGGCAGTGATTCATTTAACGAATGTGGCCAGGAAGGTCGTAAAATGGGACGAAACACACTTAACTGATGGCACACTTTTGTGACCTTCCAACAAGCAAAGTCACTTAATCATTTGTGTTACTGACTTTTAACAACTGCAGTGACTCCCTTAACAATTTTGGCAAGGAATGGGGCAAAATTCACTTAATTTAGGAGCCTGAGTGGCGTAGGAGGCTAATGCCTCCTACTAAGGCAGCATTTAACATCCAGCTGCCTGCAATTACTGCGAGTTCAATTCTCACCAGGCTCAAGGTCGACTCAGCCTTCCGTCCTTTCTAAAGTGGGTAAAATGAGGACCCGGTTTGTGGGGACAATAAGCTGACTTTGTATAAAATATGCAAAAGTATGACGGCTATTGCTTAACGCATTGTAAGCCGCCCTGAGTCTCCGGAGAAGGGCGGCCTATAAAAATAATTTTTTTAAAAAAAAACTTGCTTAGCAACAGAAATTTTGGCCTCTACTGTGGTCATTAAATTGAGGATTACCTGAATAGCTATGCAGAAAATTTCTGTAGTTGTTGACTTACAACCACTCATTTAGTGACCGTTCAAAGTTACTATGAGACTGAAAATGTTACTGACAACTGTTCCTGGCGCTTACAATTGATGTACCATCCCCAGGGTCACAGGATCAAAATTTGGGTCGCTTGGCAACTGGCATGGTTTTTACAATGGGTGTAGTGTCCTGGGATCAGGTGATCACTATTGGCGACCTTCCAAACAGATCATGAACAAGCTAAGAAGGAAACCAAAAGACCAGAACACGTCCTCTCTAGCAGCCAACGCCCAGAGAAGCAGGGATTAACACCAGACAAACAATCAAGCAGAAAACAACCAAGAAGAAAACCACACCCCTGCCAACACGGGCAGGACAAGCTGCTAGGTATAAACAGGGAGCAAACCACACATTCACCAGCATTGATGCTGTTACCTAGCTGGGTCATGAAACAACTGCAGGAAAACAACCAAGCTTAGAGAGACCACAGTGTTGTGGCTCCGTTGCCTGAGCCTGGGCTATCGACAGATGCAGACTCTGAGAGTGAGGGAGAGGAGTTGGCAAGGCCTCCCTCTCCAGGACCCTCCTCTCTGGCAATGCCTCCGGAGGACACCGAAGGCCAAGAGATAGGCCCAGAGCCAAGCACGTCCCCGCAGCCACAGGTGGACAGCGACGAAGAAGATAAGTGCTGGCTGGACCCACGACAGAGGCGCAGGGAGAAGCGTGCGCAGCAGAGGGGAAGGCGTGCCAGAGATTAGCTGAGTCACTGGACCACACCCCACAGGGTATAAATGTGGGTGTGGTGGCCAGTTCAGTTTGTGACGAGCAAAAACTAGAAATAATCCATGATCTCTGTGTTACTGGACTTCTGCCTGCCTTGTCGGACTGCATTTGAACTAATCCTTGTATTGCGGAAACTTTGCCTGCTTTATCGGAATGCTGGCAGTCTAATCTTTGTTTTGTGTGAGTAAAGTCTGAATTGGCAGCTAGCCACTGGGTTGCTGCCAGCTTTATCTTCAAAGAGTTTTGTCGTGTGGCTTATTAATTCCGGGCCATCTGTGGGGGTGCGTGTGTGGGACGGGCACAGAACACACGGACCCCATAGTCTTCTTCCTCCTCTCTATAAACCCTTCTCCCTTCTATCACTGATGGGTGTTACCTGATCAGGTAATGAAGCTCAGAGAGCATCACGGAGCCCACTGTTCACTTCCTCCTCTCCGCAAACCCCTCTCCCTCCTAACACTGATGATGTTACCTAGTTGGGTCATGAAACGTCTGCAAGAGAACACCAAGGACCCCACAGTTCAACCCTGAGCTACAAATATTCTCTTCTATTGATTATGATCAAGCCCCTTTGATTAGGTAATCAGAAATAAGAAGAGAGAGAGAGAGAAAGAAGATAAGTTTAAATGTCTCAGTGGTACTATCCCATCAAGCATGGTAGAACTTTCAAATTCATCTCTGAATACGGAGAACCCCAATAAATTTCAGGACCTGTCTTCCCACTTGGCCTTACTTTGGGTCGCTTCCATTGGATCCCCTGAATCCGAGACTTGTAGAAGAGCGAGTCATCGTTGGCTGGAAAGAGCGGATCTTCAAACAAGATTTTCTTCCTCTGACAGTCCTTCTTCAAAGTTGAGTAGCGCTGGTTTTCATATGGCTTCACTGATGAGAACATTCTTCCCGGTCACCCCTAGAAGGACAGAAGGCAAAACCTCAACAACAAGACTCACAAGCAACAGACAAAAAACCCTGATCCAACCTTGGACGCTGCACTCCAAGCATGTCCAGAAGGTGACAAGTTGGAGAAGATTCCAGCCGACCATGACGAATTAAGACGATTAATTAAGACGATTAAGTTAAGACGATTTTGGACACCAAACAAGAGTTATAATTTCTTGATAGTGAGAAAAATTTATCAAGAGGACTTCTAGGACCTCTAGAAGTTGTGGGTGCTCCAACACTGGAGGTTTTTAAGAAGAGATTGGACAGCCATTTATCTGTGTTAGAAATTCTGTATTTGGCCTACAGAACACACACTGCACTGTCAACATGTGCTTTTCTGCTTAACTGCGAGAAGGAAAGCATATGTGAACTGTGCACTGTTCGTGCAGAATTTCTAACAGCTTATGGGCTACAGTCATAGCCGGCTACAGCAAATAAGTGCATGATACAGAAAGAGAACGAAGGCTGCAACAGAATAAAAGAAAATGGCCAGTAACACAGCTACAACAAAGCTTTCATTTGCAAAACTAACAGTCTGAAATGTCTTCAGCAGGGGGTTGGACTAGAAGACCTCCAAGGCTCCTTCCAACTCTGTTATTCATGTAAAATTTGTATTGCTAGGCAAGCCAGAAGTTCACGGATCTGGCCACGATGCCCACAAATGCTGGGATGACAACTGGAGGAACCAGCTTGGAGAAGACTGACCTAAAACAGGAAGATTTTTGGCTGCCAGAGTTGGCCGCTGGACAGTGATAACTTCAAATGATGATCTCCACTGAGCAAACATCTGGGAGGATAGAATTATCAGAACAGCTCCATCAGTGGTGGGTTGCGCTCAGTTCAGACTGGTTCTATAGAACCGGTAGTAAAACTGGCGGGAGGTTCCGCCCACCAACCCCGACATCATCAGCAAGTTTCTGCGCATGTGCAGAAGTGTGAGCGCAAGAGCGAACCAGTAGTAAAGGTAAGTATAACCCACCCCTGAGCTCCATATAACCAATTTTGTTGTGTACATGATGTACAGTGACAATAAGGGCTTTGAACTTTATATGCTGGCAAAATAAAATCATTAATTCTTATTTCCAAGGACCAATGCCAGCTTCTTAACCACCAATTCCTCCCTCCTGTTAAACCGCAAATAGTTTCCTCATTCTTTCATTCATGTATGCTTTGATATTCTCACAGCAGCTAAGCAAACTAAGCTAGAGCCAACACCTGTAGCACACAAATCAACTAAAGCCTTCCCAAACATGAGCCAGGACTGTGCAGCAGCTGCCAAAAAAGCCAACACAGTTCTGGGCTGCATAAACAGAGGGATAGAATCAAGATCACGTGAAGTCTTAATACCACTTTATAATGCCTTGGTAAAGCCACACTTGAAATACTGCATCCAATTTTGGACACCACGATGTAAAAAAGAGTGCAGAGAAGAGCAACAAAGATGATTAGGGGATAAAACATACAAAGAATGGTTGCAGGAATTGGGTATGTCTACCTTAATGAAAAGAAGGACTGGGGTGACATGGTAGCAGTCTCCCAATATCTCAGGGGTTGCCACAAAGAAGAGGGAGTCAAACTATTCTTCAAAGCACCTGAGGGTGGGACAAGAAGCTATGGGTGGAAACTAATCAAGGAAAGAAGCAACCTGGAACTAAGGAGAAATTTCCTGACAGTTAGAACAATTAATCAGTGGAAAATTTTGAAAAGTGAGATTATAAAAGCCCAGTCTAGCACAATACCAATGAAGAAGAAAAATAACAGCTCTCAAAAGAAACCAGCATGGCTGCATAAAGAACTCTCTGACAAATTGAAAGACAAGAAGGACAAGTATAAAAAGTGGAAAGAGGGGCAAATAACTAAGGCAGAATATCAGAAACACAGCTACAACAAAGCTTTCATTTGCAAAACTAACAGTCTGAAATGGCTTCAGTGGGGGATTGGATGAGAAGACCTCCAAGGTCCCTTCCAACCATCTCATCTCATCTCATCTCATCTCATCTCATCTCATCTCATCTCACTCATCTCATCTCATCTCATCTCATCTCATCTCTTCCCTTCCCTTCCCTTCCCTTCCCTTCCCTTCCCTTCCCTTCCCTTCCCTTCCCTTCCCTTCCCTTCCCTTCCCTTCCCTTCCCTCCTTCCCTTCCCTTCCCTTCCCTTCCCTTCCCTTCCCTTCCCTTCCCGACTACCTCTGCATGATTAATTTTGTTCTATGCCTGCAGCCATGATGCTCTTTTCCAGTAACCTAATTTAGGAGAAAGGAACAAAACAATATTAGAAGACTTAAGAGCTGCTTTTTTAAAAGTTGGAATCAGTAACATTTCCTGATTCAACAAAGAGCATTAGTGATTCCTAATCGCTTCTTCTCTATCCTGGATGAAATCCAGCAATCTCAGTTGTTGGCCAACAGAATGTCCCTTTCAAGGAAGAAAAAAAAACATTTCTTGCTTGGACCTCCTTCATACTGGAATCATAACAAGACAAAACCACAAAGGAAAAAGAAGATGGAACAGATATATTTTAACAGATACATTGCTATGTCTAATAATCTAATGAAAAGGACTAGGGGTGACATGATAGCAGTCTTCCAATATTTGAGGGGCTTCCACAAAGAAGAGGGAGTCAAGCTATTCTCCAAAGCACCAGAAGGCAGGACAAGAAGCAACGGGTGGAAACTAATCAAGGAGAGAAGCAACCTAGAACTAAGGAGAAATTTCCAGACAGTGAGAACAATTAACCAGTGGAACTACTTGCTACCAGAAGTTGTGAGTGCTCCAATACTGGAGGCTCTTAAAAAGAGACTGGATAGCCATTTCTCTGAAATGATGTAGGGTTTCTTGTATGAGAAGGGGTTAGACTACAAGACCTCCAAGGTCCCTTCCCACTCTTGATATATGTTCTTTACAGAAAGCACAGAACATTTATTTGATTGACTGCCATTGGGTGGCAAAGATTTGCCCACCTATATGGATAATTTGAAGAGTCCTGGGCAAATTCAGGGAATTTGCAGATTGCCGTCATTTTTTAGGATTGAATCAGCTCGTCCCCGATTTAATTCTCTTCCTTTTCCCTTGACTTAATTAATTAGGCTGCTTGGATCTAAGCCAAAGGTTTCCTGATAGATTACTTTTTCCCAGCAGGAAATGGCTTCACAAGGACACGTAAAACTTTCTCCACCCCTCAGTGAAATCATTAACAACTGGCAGTGATTGGTTTAACATCTGTGGCAAAAAAGAATTGTAAAACTGGGCACAACTCACTTAACAACTGTCTTGCTTAGCAACAGAAATTTTGAGCTGAATTATGGTTTGCTAAGCGACCAGTCGTTAAGTCGAGAACTACCTGTACTGTTTATTCAGTTAATGACCAGCAAAAAATTTTTAAAAAATTGCAACAAAAAAGGTAATGGAACAGAGGAAATAAAACAAGAGGTAACAAAGATAAAGTAACAAAATGTAACATGTGTTACTATAATGTTATTAACGGAAAAAACGGAATTGGAAGGCAGGGTTAATTCCCTGTGCCCGCGTAAATCTAAAATATTACATTATGAAGTAAAAATACATATTACAAGGTAGCTAGCACGTATTAAGCGCGAAGAGATGAACAGAACAGAAGCAATTATTCCTGGGCTTTATTTTCAATGCGGCAACAAAGAATTTTGACTCCTGCGCAAGCGATAAAAGGATTTTGCAATCTTCTAGAAGACCGTTCACACCTGACATGGTCTGTGCTGCCAGGAAATTTACATATTGGGGGCAAAATAGAAGCAGACCCCATATCCCTGTAAAATTGGACAACCTAAATAATACATGCAAAATGTATGTTAATCTCCTTGTCAGCAGCTGCGCAGACACTTTCAGCTAAATGGATTTTTTTGGGGACTCTCGTTATCTACTTTGCAGCAATGCAGATGGTTAAAAAAAAGTGGCTGCAGGCCCTTGCAAAAATTGCTAGGTAATTATAATTGGGGCATTATTCATTGTTAATTGCCTGCGTTAACTTTTAAAAGTAACATTAATTAAAACGTTGCAAGGGTGAGTTAAGTTTGCACTGGCACTATCCATTTCTAAGTGGTCAATGGTCCACCTTTCTAACTCTCGGTGGGTTTCAAATCCAATTTTTTTTACTACTGGTTCTGTGGGTGTGGCTTGGTGGGCAAGGTGTGGCTTGGTGGGCGTGGCAGGGGAAGGATACTGCAAAATCCCCATTCCCTCCCCACTCCCGGGGGAAGGATATTGCAAAATCTCCATTCCCACCCCACTCTGGGGCGAGCCAGAGGTGGTATTTGCCGGTTCTCCAAACTGCTCAAAATTTCCACTACTGGTTCTCCAGAACCTGTCAGAACCTGCTGGATTTCACCCCTGCTCTCTACCCCCCCCACTCCAAAAATGTGCACCCTGCAACAATGAACAATAGATGTGGTGGCCCATTTCTTCACTCTATTGCTTCCTAGAGCAGAGTTAAGACGTGTGGTTAAGATGTGCGGACTTCAACTCCCACAATACCCCAGCCAGCCATCAGATTGGTCATGTGACCAGTCTGTCTTACAACTATTAAAACATACATGCAGTCCTTGGACTTACGACCACAATTGAGCCCAACATTACTGTTGCTAAGCAAAATGTTTGTTAAATTAATTTTGCCCCATTTTACAACCTTTCTTGCCATGGTTGTTAAGCGAATCACTGCACTTGTTAAGTTAGTAACACGGTTGTTAAGTGAATCTGGCTTCCCCATTGACTTTCCTTGTCCGGAGGTTGCAAAAGGACACTGCAACCGTCATAAATATGAACCAGTTGCAAAGCGGCCAAATTTTGATCACATGACCATGGGGATGCTGCAATGGACATAAGTGTGAAAAATGGTTGTCTTTTTTTTTCCAGCGTCGTTAACTTTGAATGGTCACTAAATGAACTGTTGTTAAGTTGAAGACTTCCTGTACACCGTAGTGGGCAGGTTCCATTGTGGTTATATTATATGCCCAGGACACTCCGTAGAGAGGTAGTTCTTAACTTACGACCATTTCCTTAGCGATTGTTCGAAGTTACAGCAGCACCGAAAAAAGGGACTTACGACTTATCCTCACACTTACAACCATTACAAGCACGTGATCATAATTTGGGCGTCTGGAAACCGACATGCATGTACAGTGGTTGCAGAGCTACGCGAGGCCATTTGCAACCTTCTGTTCTGATCCCTAAACACGGCAAACCCCTCTGAAGCGAACTCAATTATTCCTTTATTAGGAGCGCCAGCACCCCTGGCAAAAAGTTTCTCTCTCACCGCAGGCTAACAAGTCCGTCCGGCAGGGAGATGAATAGTTGTCTGCCACATTTACTCGTCTCCGGCCCCTGCCTTTTATCCCCAGAGCTAGGGTGGGGCTTTGCTAGCAGCGGTGGCCTTCCGTACCAAGGACCGGCCCATAGATTTCCACTGCTCTCCTCTCCTCTGCTTTCTGTGCATCCATGCGTCAGGCACTGGACACAGCTGTTCCTCCTCCTCCTCATCAGCCGCCTCCAGACCTGGGGGCTGTTGACTCTCCATCGGAGGGCTGACGGAAGGCCCAGGCTCCACTTTTTGTCTCTTTCTCTGTGACTGCTCCATTCCCTCTTCCCCCTCGGAGCTCTCAGGTTGCCCTGATGCTGATCCTGACTCCCATGTCCACTCCTCTTCCTCCTCTGATTTGGCTGCTGGGGAGGCCAGCAGCCGACAAGCCACAATCACCTTCCCAGCTGACTTCCAACAAGCAGAATCATTGGCAAAAATCAGATTCACTTAACAACCCGATGACTGATTTAACAAGTGAGCTATTTGCTTAACTGTGGCAAAAAGAGGTTGTAAAATCTGGCCTTTCATTCACTTAACAACCACACTGCTCAGCCATGGAAATTCTGTTCTCAACTCTGGTTGTAAAATGAGGACTATCTGCAATCCAGCTCTCCTTCTGCAGTACCTACATTTGCATTGTTGATTTTTGCGATGATGGTTAGCATCTTTTCCCTGCACCACGCCCAAAGTCTCTTTTGAATAGGGTGGACATTAAACACTGTAAAATAAATACAATAAGCACTAAAAAAATAAAATAGTTTTGTCTGCAAATCCCTCTCCCTCTACCGGTTTCTGAAACGGTGGGGCTCTTTTGCTTCTTTCTAATCCAACAGTTTTATCAAAATACTTTGCTGAAATAATGTTCCTCCAGCAGCAGAAGAAAAAATCTCCCGAGTCACGATGATAAGAGAGAAATCTGAACTTTGCAATGTATTGATTTACATCTTATAACATAATAAAACACTGACTTGGTCGGAAAAAACTGTAGAGAAAAGATAATTCTCCTGTATCCCACACTATGGAATACGGGTAGTCTTTGACCTGCAAGCACAATTTCCATCGCTAAGCAAGATGGTCGTTAAGTGAGTTGCGCCTGATTTTAGGACCTTTTGGCCAGTGTTGTTGTTAAGCAAATCATTTGCAGTTCTTAAATGAATCACAAAGTCGTTAAGTGAATCCAGCTTCCCCTTACTATGGCTTTGCCTGTCGGAAAGTCGCAAAAGGGGATCACTCAACACTTGCAACGGTCATAAATCCGTGTCGAATTTTGATCTTGTGATTGTGGGGATGCCGCGACAGTCCCAAGTGTGACAAAACGGTCACAAGTGTGACAGTTCCAAGTGTGAAAAAGGGTCATAAGTCACTTTTAACAATGCCATTGTCACTTTGAACGGTCGCTAAATGAACGGTTGTAAGTCGAGGACTACAGGTGTCCTCGACGTACGACCACAATCGAGCCCAACATTTCTGTTGTGAAGCGAGACACTCATTATGTGAGTTTTGTTCCATTTTATGACCTTTCTTGCCACAGTTGTTAAGTGAATCGCTGGTCAGGTGGTCGCAAAAAAGGGATTGCATGACCTTGGGACACAACAACGGCCATAAATATGAGTCACTTGTCAAGCATCTGAATGTGGATCATGTGATCACGAGGACGCTACACATGTTAACTGTGTGTAACTACATGTACATTTCACATGTAACTGTGAAAAATGGTCATGTCCCTTTTTTTTCAGCACCCCTGTCACTTTGAATGGTCACTAAATGAACTGTTGTAAATTGAGGTCTACATGTATAAAATGTAAACACATGTCAATAAAGGCGAGGTACACGGATGTGTCTCCTTCTCCCTAAAAAAGGATGAGGTTCCTCCCCGATACTTTGCAAAGCTTTGCAAATAATAAAACAATGAATCAAACAATTCTAGAGAAACTCTTTTGGCAGAAAAAAAAACCGCACACACACAAAGGTGTGTCAGGGCAGATCCGGGTAAACGAAAAGCCTCCACTGAACAAACTGTCATCGGTTTTCAACCACAAGGAAACAATAGCTGGGCTAAAAAAGCTTCTAGTCCTCATGATCTCCAGATTTTTAAAAACGCTCCTGAGGAAAAAGCAGCAAGGCAGCGATTTGACTCTGGGGTCAATTTGCACATCATACAAGGCCAAAAGGTGGTTTGCTTGGTTTCAATATTAATGGATGAATCAGGTTAACTGGGGTTTGAATAACTGTTAAAGATATTTAATTTAATAGTTGGAAGAATAAAGTGTATAATGGGCCAGAACACACAAGTTGTAGTTGATTGATGGGACAGGGCCGGCTCCTGCATGAGGCAATCTACGTTCTGATTGGTTGAAGGGTCTAAAGGGGGAGGTTCCCTTTTTTCCCGCCTTTTTCTTCCGTGTGCTCTGTATGCTGTTCTGTGATTTACCTCACAATGTAGTGATGTGCCTGATTATCTTGTTCGATGCAAAATATAAATGTAAAAATACATTTATTTATATAAAAACACAAGTTTGTGTCATTCGCTGCACAAGTCCCTAACAGTAACCACGGGTCGCTGAGCAAACCAGAAAGAATACACAATATCAAGAGTTTGGAAGGGACCTTGGAGGTCCTCTAGTCTGACCCCCTGCTCAAGCAGGAGACTCTATAGCACCATCCACGTCAAATGATGGAGGATCCACAACTTCTGAAGGCAACTCATTCCACTGATTTAATTGTTCTCATTGTCAGGAAATTTTTAGCAAAACACATCAGTCTGGTCCCATTTTAGCTGCTGCATTCACACAACACCCTTAACCTGGTTACTGAATTAAGCTACCTTATGTGTGTGAATCCGACCAAGGTATAAGCCTTGATCCCTAAACCAGACTGGCTGCGTTCAACTCCAATTCAAGCCAACATATCTTAGCCTAATGTGTGAACATAAATCATTATCAATCAATTCAGCCAAAAGAAATTTTAAGGAGGAAACGCTGCACGCAAGCTCAAAAATAAAATTATCTTGGTTGAAA